GAGAGAGAGAGAGAGAGAGAGAGAGAGAGAGAGAGAGAGAGAGAGAGAGAGAGAGAGAGAAATGTTTGTCGTAAATACTGCACCATAGTAAATACCCCACATGGGTGCAGTCAACTAATTCAAGCGAAAATTTATGGCCAGCTCATTAGCATTAAAAGTTCCCACATAGTATCTGTTGAAAAAGGAGATTGTATGGCTTTTCTTTAGGAAATCCTATTAAATCGTTTCGCTACTAGTTGTAATGGAATTTTTAGTGCTCTGTAAAAATTTTTTAGACATTGTAATTTTTCCTGTGCACAAGAGATCGTCGTTTCTTAGTATGGCCCCTTCCATCAAAAGTAGTACAAACTACATAGTTAGTGTTCTCGGATGATTACATACACTATAATTGGACTGAAAGTGTTCACATTTCTTTTAGACTTGGCCTGTCTAATCAACTGTTCTTTGTCTGTAGCTGATCAGCAGCTACCTCCATATTTCATCCATGAACTCGGAAATAAAGTGTAAAAAGCAGAGCAGATGTTCTGATTGATCAGGTATAAGAAAATGGGGTTGCCAGAACTTGCCAAGAATAGGTTCGAGTCTCAAAAATAGGATTACATGTACTATTAATCACCCTTTAGCACAAGTGTTCTTAAATCTGCTGCTTTTGTTTAGTATACCCACCTGCATTGTTAACAAGAATATCAAGTCTCTCTTCACTTTCGATGGTCTTGCGAGCGAACTCCCGGACGGACTGCAGACTGGCTAGATCCAGGTGGCGCACCACAACCTTCGAGTTGCCCGTGCGTACCTTGATCTCCTCGGCGGCATCTTGGGCCTGCTGGAGATCGCAACAGCCCAGGATGACCTGGGCGCCTCGTCGGGCCAAATCCAGGGCCGTCGCTTTGCCGATACCTGAACTGGCCCCTGTCGAATTAAGAATGCGGTGTCGAATTACAAATGCTGGATCCGTCTGGATAATATTTCGCATGACATACCTAACCTAAAAAGGTTTTTTAGTCATGTCCTATATACGCTTCTGTAATGTGTATCAAGAGAGAACAAGGAACTTGGCAGGGTGAGTAAACTTTTCTACCCAGCAACATGTTGTTTTAATCTGCAAAAAATAGCACAGATTACGGTAGTCCAGTTCGGCAGTTGTTCAAAAACTTCACACATAATGGACGACCATGTTCCTTTTTTTTTTAACTCAGAGAAAGGATTTTCAAGATGTATTATTTTTTTTTTCAAGATGTATTTTTTTCAGAGAAAGGAATTATTTGTTTGGATTGCGTACAATGAGGTGGTTCAAAAATAGTGCCCAATACCTGTTATGATCGCCGTTTTCCCCTCTAGGTTAGCATTACTTTTGCAGTACCGCCGACAAGCAATGTGGGTCCTGTAGTGCCGCCAGTACAGCGCAGCCAATGGGGCTGTGCATATTGCCAGAACTATGACTATATTCAACATTTCTCACGGACGTCCAAGCTACACTGTGCTCACTGGACATGAACTTGATGGGTTGGAGTCACTGCGACGGAGCCTTGCCGTGTGAAAAGAGTGGCTTCATTCCAGCAAATTCTCGTGTCTGTCTTTTACCTTAATATAGCTTTATATACCTTTTTATAGGTTTTATCACTTGCGACGTACGTAAGCTCACTATCTGTTTTTTCTTCTGAAGCACCGCCCATTATAATGATCGTGTCAGTGTCTAACGGTGGCCACAGGTAGTTTCAAATGTTTACTGTTGAACCAAAAATAAGTAAGGACTTGGGAAACTTTTGGCTTGACATTATGTTGCTGTGTAACGGAGCAGATGGAGAGTCATTAACTTAGTGGAACAAATTTATGAAACTGAAGCCTGAATGAAAGGCTGGAATGAAGCTCGATCTAGAAGATTCTGGAAAAAAAAATCGCACTACAGTTATGAATATTACACATCGCTTTGCCCTATGACCCTACTGAAAATTCAGTGCTTTGACCCTTCGTCGTGCTATCTTTCATAAAAACAATTAAAGTCACAAAATGTTATCAAATTTTTTAATCATTTATATATTCTGAACCTTAATTAACATACCATTTTTTTCGCGGGTAGGAGCTGCCAAGGTACTTCCCTTAAGTCCCTGTTCACATTAATTGAAACGTTCTAAATGTATCAACTGCTCCGTTACGGCTATCTGAATCTTAGTTCTTAACATGATCATTATGGATCTGCCGAGACGCTACGCTACAAAATTATATATGAATTCGTGTGACCAAGAAAATTAAAACTAAACCGAGGATCAAGAGAATAATTAGTGCAACCCAAATCGCCGTTGCAATAAAACTGGCGTGCTCGTAGGGAGCCAATGCAGCCATGGAAGAAGCGGGGAGTAGGGGGGGGGGTTGAAAAAATACGAAAAACAGGCAATGAAAAGAAAAGAGGGAACCATTAAACAATAGAACAAATAAAAGCGTTAGAATTGTTGATTTCCATGAAAATGGCTTAGAATCTTTTGTGACTTGTTAGTCTGCTACTGGTTGGCTTCTCCCCAAAAGAGGGTCATGCCCTTGTGCACCCCTTTTTGAGATGCACGTGAAAACAGCTAAAAAGTATAAACATCCAGATTTAAGTACATTAATTAAGCACGGATCATTCTCCCAAACAAGCCTCCCATAATGAACGTACAAGATTAAAAAATGCTGGTTAATTCTTTGGAAGGGGGGGATCACGAACTGGGGTCTTTTAATTAAACAAAAGTAAATTCATGAAACGATGAAGTTCCTATCCGGAATAAAAGTTACTTTTCTCGAGGTTTCCAAAGGAGAATGATTTCTAAAAGGAAAACAGGGTGCCCCAGGGTAGCCCCGTAAAAACAGACACGTTCCAATATCCAGTCCGGAATTTAGTTCAGTATAAATCCTTATTTGGCTGCTACATCTGTTATGTCTTGTGTGTTTTGGTCTTGGGCGATTCTTTTTCCCAATACATGCACCGCTCCTGTACAACATTGAATTAAATTTTTCGTTGTGGCTTTTAGGCGCTCCGTACTGTTTGTTCTTTTTGGAACCCTTGGGGGCGCTCGTTAATGAGTGACATGTGGCCACAAACACTTGCACGTGACGAAGTAAGTTCGACTTCGAGTCATGTTTGACCATGGTAGAATTGTCAGTTCTTTGGACGAGGATTTTGCCTCTTTTAGCTGCACTTTACAGTGTCTATTACTGGCAATTCATCACTAGTCGTCAGCATTACAAAGGCGACGCTATACTGAATGGAAAAACGGTCATAATCACAGGCAAGTGTATTGTTTTCGAGCTTTGTTTGATTTTGTAAAAATGTCGTCTGCTCCGAGTCTGCCATGTCTGCAGACCGTCATCTGGCAGGTGACTTAGCATGCTTATGCACATGACTTATGCCACACAGGCCAAATAGCAAGGAAACAGTGTTAGTGAATTACATGTACATATTCAATCTTGTTCACAGAAAAAAAATCGCTTTGCTATTTTCTTAATAAGGAAACAAATCTTGCCAATAAGATATCCCCCAGCATAACCTGACAACCGCCGCGCGCCTTCTACTTTCTAGTATGGAACAGTGGATAGTTTAACACTTTTGTGTACAATTCCATGAAAATTGATGTGATTGTGAGCTAACAATGTGTTTTACTGCTCAAGACTGGCATAGTTTAGGCAAAAAAATGTCTCTGGTTTCTGGTCACTGCGTGTGTCGCCTTAGACCTGCAAGTTGGCAAAATAAAGAAGCCTTTTATTTTGCATAGTCCTAATATGATTTCCAAAAGCTGCCAAACTTACTTGATCGGCAGGAATTCTGCTTCTGCGTAATTTTAAATGGTTTTTGATGGATGGGGTTGAGTGATATGTACGGTGAAAGAATCAGATGACATCATTCGTGTATCTTTACACGAAGGCCGTGTCCGAATCAGTTGGCTGCAGCTTGATATTATGCATGATTCTACATGTATGGGAACTGGCTGTGGATGCTGCCAAATACTCGGTGAAATTTCCGGCCATAGACAATTGATTCAGAGCCAGGCCCACGTCTGTGAACCAGACAATGGAAGTGGTCTTATGTCCCGCTTACATGTACCTATGCAAATTGAAAACGCTTTTAAGCAACAAACCATGAGGGGCCAGCCTATTTCAGTGTCGGTGAGGCAGTATTGGTATATACGCATGCAGTGCATGCAGTGGCGATGGACATCGCGTGATGAAAGCCGTACATTTAACGACTCATGCATCGTCACTTGCTAAGAACAAAGGTACATGTACCGGTACTTGTAGATTAGAGTAAGAGGAGATTTTATTTTCTGAGCTGAAATTTTCCCCAATATTTCATATGGTACTTGTTTCTTATAAGCTAAAACAGAAAACAATGTGCACAGTATATCATTTACCTCATGAGAATTTTAATTTCATTTTGACTGGAGCTGAATTGTTTTCATTTTTTTTTCATATTTAACGTGCAACTTGTTTCCTCTAAGCTAAAGCAGAAAGCAATGTGCAAAGAATGTCAAATACTGCTACCTCAGGAGAATTTCATTCAAAACCGGAACTGGAGCTGAACATTTATTTTTCGCAATTCATTTTTCCGTTGTGGTTGTGCTATCGTATTTTAACAAACTCAATCTTGCTAAGAATAGAAGCCTCATGGTTGAGTGAGATGACTGAAACCATTGCCTCTCATCATATTTTATGGTCTTTTTACTTATTCAAAGTTGTTAATTCACACTTCTCATAGTAACAAGGCCATGCGCTCTAAAGTATATGTGCATGTACATCACTTCTAAGGAAAAATAGAGGGGAAAAACAAACATATCACCGCACCACTTTTGGACCAAGCCCATGACCTGAAACCGGAGTCTTTTTTTTTTTGGCCTTATTGAGTTATATAGACACGTAGCCTTTAGACTAGGAATGTTTAGATGGTTAGTTTACCCTAAGACGGTGTTGCACATTTTCCAACATGTATGTACATGTATTTCAATTTTGCATAATAGGGTCCAAAGCTGGCTTTTCAAGAAGCAATCACAATATCAGCATTATTGAAAACAGAATAAAAAAAAATGAAATCCAATGGTGGTTTGAAACATTCCTATAGGTGTTTGCATTTTGGATGTTTGAATAATCAGTTAAATCTAAAACAATCAATAAATTTTGGTCTCCAGAGGCCCCCTTATAATTTTTTGCAGCTCTAAATGAAAAACCAACTATTAATATCAAATGCATGTATCATTAGACATTGTCATCAAATACATGTATATGCTGTATCGTATGGGCTGTGTTCACAGTTTTGCTGTTCCACCCAGAAACGATCATAAAAATTGATTTGTGGCACCATGGCGATATCATTTTTCAACAAGAAGAAGAACAAGCAACAACAAAACATCCCCGTGTGGCCAAATTCATCCACACGACAATATCGTTGTCTTTTTTCTACCCAATTAAGTTTGGATAGACACAGCCTAAAAATGCAGCTACGATTCTGACCTCAAATCAAAACAGCCATGCCAAGGGTACTCTTCTGTGATCGGGTCATCCAGTTAGGGCCAGTCATAGTGAAACAATAAAACTGACCTCAAGGATGAAGATTTTAACATTTTTATTTGATGAGGTCTCAAGAAATTCACAGCACTGAACATGTTCTATCAAAAAGGATGGTTTGGAAGCTTTATACAATAGGAAAACAATTCCCTTCCTACGACCTTCTAAACTGTCACTGCATTGGGTGTTGACCAACATCTGGTAAATTAAATTGTTAGTTGTGAAATGTAAATTGAAGTTATTCAGCAGCTGGTTTTAGGTACTACCAAGCACATGTTGTAGCACTTTGCTTGGACAGCCTCCTCTGAATAATACTTTCAGTTTGTGTTTGTCATCATGCCTGATGTTAAAGGTCATGATTGAAAAGTAAGACTGTCCAAAACAGGCTTCCAGAACTACAGCTAGGTCTATTGTCTACGTGTCTCCAAGCATTTCCAATGGAGCGAAGACCTAGACCTAGCTCTAGACAACAGATTCGGATGTAGCCCAAGGCCCAAAAAATAGAGTCTCTGGTTTCAAGTCATGGGTCGGCTCCAAAAGTGGTGCGGCGATGCAATTTTTTGTTTTTTGTCCCCGCTTTTTTTTCCTAGAAATGATACATGCACATGTCCTTGTAGGTTCTGCTACTACCAACACTGAAGTAGACTGACCCCCTCGCTATTTACTGTTTAAAAGCATTTCCAGCTTGTAGATGTAACACAGGACATAAGACCACCTCGTTTGTCTGGTTCCCAGATGTACAGTAAGTGTACATGTATAATGCAGAAATGACGTCATCTGAAAAAGAGTCCCCGAATAAATGTAGGGATCTGGGGTTTCCCCGGTGAGATAATAATTTTTGATGGGAATATGAACTCTGACCTGCTGGTCTCTGGCACAAGATCATTGTGTGAGTACGAGCGTCCCTTGCCGTGTGCAGACTAAATTACATGTATCTCTAAGCCACGCCCTTCGGCCGGAAGTTGCTTACATTGTATTACATTTTGGCAGGACCTGAGAAGTTTCTGGGTTTTCTCAGTAACAGTTCCCACGTTTGAGACCTGCACCTTGGTGGGCTGGCAGTCACAGCAACATGGCTCCGTGTGGGATAACCTAAGCCCTAAATTTCCGTTGGCTTTAGAGTTCATACCAATTTGGGCAATCTTTTAGACATCAGGGTAAGAGAATTTATGATTGTACGGAGACATTTCGTCGTGTGAATTTATCATGGACATAGCGAATGTAATGTTTATTACGATGTACACGTAAGCCATCACTCATTAATAGTAGGTCCTCTGTCTTTCTGGTTACAATTTCATTGCTGATTGACACCTGGGAATAAATCGAAGGGAATCAAGCCACAGTCGCCTCCAGTCCATTTTTGCCTGGTTTTGCCCCTCCTATCCTTCTTAATTGGCGGACGAATCTCCACCCACCTGACAACTGCAGAAGGACCGGACCGCTACAAAATTACCTGTATATGGGGATCTTGAGGGACTACTTTACTGTACATTTTACTCAACCGTACCCCTTCTAAAACACATGAACACTACGCAGTAGCAGGATTCCAGTCTATCAACTAAGTTTGGCAGCTTTTAGACATCATATTATTCCAAATTAAAAACTTTTTTGCTTGCTGACGCACAGGTCTATGGCAAAGTGCCTGCTGACCAGAAACCGGGGCTTTTTATAGCCTAAAGGTTGTTCTTTACAGTCACTGATTGTAAAATTAATTAAAAAAAATCGGAATGAAACATTCAGGAGGCAACTCTGGCATTGGCAGAGTCACAGCCCTGGACTTGGCCCAGCGTGGGGCCCGAGTCATCTTGGCCTGTCGCAGCCTCCAGAAGGCCCAAGATGCCGCCGAGGAGATCAAGGCGCGAACGGGCAACTCCGAGGTTGAGGTGCGCCACTTGGATCTGGCCAGCCTGCAGTCCGTCCGGGAGTTTGCCAGTGGGATTCTTGAGAGTGAAGAGAGACTGGACATACTCATCAACAATGCAGGTGAGAGTTGATGAGGTTTCTCAATCGTTGCATCAGCTGGATAACTAACTACATTAGGTGAAACCCCTGTTAAATCCACCCCACCCAACTTCCCACTTACAACTGTATTTCCCAATTTTACCAGATCAAGTTTGACCAACTCTTTTTTTCTTACCAGGGATTGGGTTTGCCAGAGAGGGTGCTGTCACCAAGGACAACTTTCACCTTATCTTTGGCATCAACCACTTCGGCCACTTTCTCCTCACCAACCTCCTCCTGGACCTGCTCAGGAAGAGCGCCCCTAGCAGAGTAATCACCATCTCTTCCATTGGACACGAATGGGTGTTCTCCCCACTGGACTTGACCCGTGGGGATCATAGCAGCAGTGGCAGCCATGGAAGCCCAGTCCTGTACCCACATCTGAGAAGTTACTTTCAGAGCAAGTTGGCCAACGTGCTCTTCGCCCGAGAGCTGGCTCGGCGACTGGAATCCACCGGCATCACTTCAGTATCCCTGCACCCCGGCGTCATTTACACCCCTATCTGGAGTGACATGCCCGTGGACTGGATCACAACCATCAATCACTTCTTCTGCCGTCCCTTCTTTTGGTGAGAGCATTAATTTTAGTGAAGTTCACAGGCCCCTTTGGTGTTGAAAAGTTCCGTTGGAGCCAACTCTCCTCGTTTATGTAGTTTCTTAAGTGTTTGTCACAGAGTTACATTTTCAATTCCAAAACAGAAAATAAATATTTTGAATTGTGGCTGCTGTTGGGATTATAGGCTTTAGAGGATGTTTTTTCTGAAGGGGAGAGGGGCAAATTTTGGGGGAAGCGGTCATCAGCAATGAGCTGGTAGGTAAACCAGAAAAAGTTGAAGCATTCAATTTGAAGGCTTTTTCCCAAGCAATGGGTGATCTTCAAGTCTTTTTGTCCCTTTTGAATAATTTGTTTCGGCTTGTGTACCAAGCTGTGTTTTCCGTCGTCGACACATTTGTGCTTGAGAACGTTAGATCTTGTATGAAAACGAGCAAAGAACTTTGTATGTACCATCCATAGTCGACAGTAGGAAGCATTTCTATTGCCTAAATACTTCCTCTGTATTCTTTGTCCAACAGGCTATTTTTCATTGATGAAGAGGCGGGAGCCCAGACAACCCTCCACTGCGCCCTGGATGACTCGATACCATACCTCTCTGGGAGCTACTTTGACAACTGTCAAGAGACGGCACCGTCAGCACTCGCTCAGGATGATGAGCTTGCCCAGAGACTGTGGGAAGTCAGCTGCGAAGCAACTGGACTGAACTGCTAGGAAAACTAACCAGCCAACTTCGTTATTGATCCATTCACTGACTTCAATTTGTGGACCCTGCAATACACTTTTCAGTGGTATCAAATTTTGTAGGAGGAGAAATCTTTAAGAATTAGGTGAATTGGGGGATCTTTAAAGGGAGGGGGAATTTCACCAAATTTGTTTGTTTTAATTTTTGTCAGGAAGGGGGGCTTGCATTAACCTTTGTGGCTTTTTGAAGGGGTGGGGCTAAGTTTAAGGGAGGCGAGGAAATGGAATAGCCCAGAAATCATCATACTCTTTATATTGAAAAAACAAAAATGGATAAAAATTTCCTCCTTTGGAGGACAGGAGCTCACGGTTTCCCCCTCCCCATTCCCAGGGTATTCCCAAGTTGGCCCAGGGTATCGTCAGACCTACCCTAGTACAGTGCATGTACAATATGTGACCCATTGGAGCAAACTGCATTGCATCGTTTGCCCCTTGACCTCATGCCAGGGGTTCTAGGGAGGACCTGTTAACAAAATCACCTTCTGCTTAAGATGGAATGTATTCATTTTTTATTTGCGGCTCGCATGCCGACCAGGATTAGCAAGTTCTGTCGTTTGCATGGAATATGAAACACTGAACAAAATTGTTTGATGGAAATATTCTGTAATGTTTCCATCAAATCATGTTCTTAATTATTCGCTGATCATTTACAGCCATTTGAATGCATCTAAGATATTTGTGATATGAATTTTCCAACAAGAGTATGTTCAGTATATTAAATATTATATAATATTATTATATTAAATATTATATTATATTAAAACCCCTTATATAGATGAACAATTTGAATATAAAAGAGGTTTTTTTAAGAATATCTATTTAGAATGTTTTTTTTCTTTTATAACTATGTACACGTACGTAGCCTTTGTACCATTTACTGTACAGCGCTCAGTCAACTTTTTGAGGGTGTATTAGCGGTTTTATCTTTATCTATTATGACTTCTGTAGGAAGCAATCTTGTGTCACCGCAAGGCTTTTATTTCAAACTTTAACCTTCTAAATACTTTTCTACAAATTATTTCACCACCTTTAAATGTTTGGTTTAAAATAAGTTATTTAAAATAAGGTACTTGCCAGAACAAAGTTATCAAGGTATTCTTAATACTTGTGCACATTCTATAAGAAGTGCGAAAACGGTTTTGGTCGTTGTAAGATCTGTGTCCTAAATTCTTTTTACGGACCGGGCTCTATTCCAAATTACAATTAAAACTTAATTAAAAGGTTTAATAATAATTGCAGTTCTTCCTTTATAGATCTTGGTTTGGCGTGTGTGTGTTTCCGTGATATCCTTTACGGTGAAGCTCGTCAGAGGTCATTGGGAAACATTACGCGCACACGGACGGCCTAATTAGTGCCGCTTAATGCAGGCTCAAACGCGCTCTACATACATGCTCACGATCGCGTCCTTTTTTCTCGAATGGCCTTGCCATTTTTAAATACACCAAGCTTATTGTACCGAGCTTATCCGTCACCTCGCTTTCATTGCCATAAGAGGGTTTTCTGTTATTTTCCAAACGCCGTGTTTTGAAACAAACAATAATATTTGGCTGACATAATAATTAAGTCTGTACATGAAAGAGTTTTTAAGACTGCTAATTAAAATGTACACTTCAAGGATAAAACACTTCCTGGCAGCTATGCCCGAAAGAACATTTTCACCCATGAACATTTGACCCCATAGACTCCACCCACGTTGATCAAATCCTTAAAAGGTAGAGCCAATGACAATTTGGAAGGTGAAACTGGGCCATAGTTGGCGGATGTAGGGTGGGGTGGACCATGCTGGGAGACCCAGGCGCCTTCAGCTGATGTGGTCCAGAATGTTGGCGATGGCGTAATTAGGATTAAGGGTAATTATAATAAAATGGGCGTATCTGAACCGTTGCGCATGCGTTTCAAGTTGTAGGAAGGTTGGGACAATTATAAATTGGGTGCACGGACGTACATAAAACAATCTTGCTCTCTCGGCCAGTTGCATGGAAGCTCAGTTAGAAGAGCGCTTGACTTGTTAGCGGCAATCCAAGGGTTCGATGCCTTTTGAAATATCAATCAACTGACGGAAAAAAATCTTGTCAGGTTGACTAATTTCCAGTCGTACCCAGCTGACCCTGAAGAGCTAGTCAACTTTTACCGAATTCTTGTCAAATTTGACTGCATATCACGACAGGGCGATCAACCTTTTCGTTTTCATAACCCAGTATAATGAAGGATCATTTGCACCAACACGATTCTGCCTTGCCCCACACTTGCACCCACAGCCACCGAGGTCTGGCACCCCACTGATAGGGCTGAAGTCTGCACGGATACTCGAAGCGTGGATAAGGGTAGCTACCCCTTTTAAGTCACTGACAAGTCTACAACTCCGGAAATTTCTCCTTCTCACTGCTACAAAGGAAGTGAAAAGTCATCGCAACCTGTAAATCACTAAGTGCGTCATGTAATCATTGTCATATAAATCCTAACATGGTCCCTTTAATCATCTTTAACTCTATCTTAGATTTAAGGCTACAGCTTTCATGTCAAAATTCCAGAAAATCTCACCACTTAAAAAGTCTGTTCGTTGTACCGGTCAAATAAACCTGAAATGGTGTTTGTTGTGATCCATCCAACTGAGCAGCATCTACTTCGACTACTTGAATCTGGCAACATGGCAAGAAAATTGAATTTTTCCGTTCACTTGAAAATTTATTTTCTGCAGCCTCCCACCTTTTTTACGCGCATGAATGCTATATTTGACAAACAGCAAAAAAATCCGAACCGAAGCAAATTAGTGTTGAAATTGCTGGAGCATTGAGATTTTTCCTCAAGTTGCATCTCACTCTTATTCATAAATATCCAAATTCACATTTGAAAAAAAAATTGAAAAAGTATACAGAAATGCCCTTTGAAAATGAAATAAAACAACGGCTAAAAAACACGGCTATTAATGAGACACGAGAGTGTACTCACCATGACTGCGTTGGAATCACATTTCATAATACATAAAATAATATTTGTATATGT